CCCGCTGGTCACTGTCTGGCTGCACAAGAGTTAATCCCAGGGTGCTTCCCCCACCACCACGTGCGCACAGTCAAATTCCAGGAACGATTTCCATTAAGGACGCTTGGAGCAGATTTCATTTACATTAATAAGAACCAGAAAAAGTGGGGGCGGGGGTGTGCGAGCACGCGTGTGGTTGCTGCTCAGGGTTTGCGTGAGTCTGGTGGAGATCCAGCAGCTCTGCCAGCGAGCCGGGCCTTCGGGGGGCTGCCAAGCCGGAGCTGGGGTGCGTAGTCTGAGGGAGGAGGCAGAGCCCAGCTGACTCTGGGGACTTCTGGCCTGAGGGGGCCCTAGGGGTCTCTCAGCTGAGGGGACAGCAGAGCCCCGTCTTGGGCGAGACAGAGCGCCAGCCCAGGGAAATGACGAGAGCAGCCAGGCGTCCCTGAGGCCTCGTTGAGCTATGTCAGCCCGGTTGGCTGCTGACCGTCGTGGAGCCTCAGTTTACCAGTCTGTTTGAGAGGCTGCTCCTTCTCTCCCCGCCAAGTGTGGCTGCAGATGTTAGAAAGGAGGTTCCATGCCCTGGCTGGTGTGGCTCAGTGGACTGAACGCCGGCCTGCGAACTGAAGGGTCTCTGGTTCAATCCCCAGTCAGGACACATGCCTTGGTTGCAGGCCAGGCTTCCCAGTGGGGGCGGGGTGCATGCCAGAGGCAACCACACATGATGTTTCTCTCCCTCTCTTTCTCCCTCCCTTCCCCTCTGTCTAAAAATAAATAAATAAAATCTTAAAAAAAAAAAAAGGGAGGTTCCGAGCCTTGAGCCCATCTATTTTAGGAGCACAGGCCCCCCTTCTCAGCCTCCCCTCCCCCTTCAGCTCTGCCTTTGGAGCCTATTGCTGAGCAGTGGACTCTGTCTGGTAAGCTCAGGAGCCTGTTGGGGGTGGAACCCTCAAGATCCACCTCCCTGGGAAGTGGGGAGTCACAGCAAGTGCGTGCCTGAGCGCAGCTGGGCCTGGGCTCGGCCAGCCCGAGCCCTGCGGCCCTTTCCCTTCCCAGCGTGCAGCTGGCTTCCTTCCTGCAGGGGAGCGAGAGCTCGGTTCCTGCCCGCTCTCGGCGTGGGGCAGGCCGCAAGCGTGTGCAGGGAGAGGCTTCAGGACCGGACCCGACCTGCCTGAGCAGGTGATCAGCTGGGGAGCGGTAGTCATGAGCTTGCACGTTTTGCTTGTAAGGACGCTGTGCAGGGAGGCTGGGGTCTGCAGGCGCCTCAGGTGCTGGGGAGGCTCGCCTGCTGCCGCGGCCTCACGCTCCGGGCCTGCGCATGCATGTGCGCGCTTGTGAGTGCAGAGGGCTGCCCCTCAGCCCAGCCACGAGTTGGGGAGAAAGAAGAAGGAGAGGAACCCCCATATGAGGCCCCCAGCATTCGAGCCCAGCCCTGCCTGTTGCAGGCCCTGCACACCTGGACAGGGCATTGCAACCTTTGGAGCGTAGGCTGGGCTCCCAAAGCTGCACCCCCACCCCCGGGTCCAAGCAAGGGGATCCTGGAGGGCACTTAATTGCAGCCGTGAATCATTCACAGAGAGCTCCGTCCAGCCGGACTCGGGGTGGTGGTACCTGCCTGGCGGTGGGAGCCTGGCGCTGGGAGCCCGGCTCGGGTGCACCAGGCCCTGGGGACCTCAGGCTGGCAGGACCGCTGGCAGGGGTCCTGGCCAGGCATCCGGCCCCGCTTTCTCCCTGCCCGGCCTGCTGCAGACTCACCTCCCCCATCAGCCTGCAGGACTCACACGCTGCTGCTTGGCTGTCTTAGGCTGTGTTATCTGAAGGCAGCCAGGGGGTGGAGCAGCCCCGACTCCCCCAGACCCGGCCGCCCCCACCCTGTGTTATCTTGTCCCCGCAGCCTCCTCCCACCCCCAGCAGCCTCAGACCTTTCTGCTCCTCTTCCCAGCATCCTCTGGGCCTCGCTTTGTCTGCAGTTGTCTTTTTTCCTGCCTCTCCCTGTCTGTCTTCCCTCTCTCCCCAGGGCATTTGGTGGGGGAGGGAGGGGGGCACCCCAAGGCTGAGCTCACTCCACCCTCGACACATCAGCTGGAGCACGTGCCCAGCTGGAGCCGGACCCTGTGCCCGCAGCTAGGGACCCATCTTCACTGGGTGAATGGCTGCGGCTACGGGCCAGACGGACGCGGCACCGGGGCCCGAACCCACGCTTGGCGCTTCCCAACCCAGTCCCCTCCAGCACCTCTCGGCTTTGAGCCTCAGTTTCCTTTTTCGACAAGATGAAAGTGGTCCAGGGGCTAAGTAGGATAAGGGGCTGTGCCCTTGGCTCATGCCTCCTGCTGGACATTCCAGCTCCTGCCCTCCCTCCTCTTTGGAGGCTGAGTGAGAGCGATGGGCACCCCTGGCTCCCTCTGAGTGCCCTGGGCCAGCTCAGCCCCAACCCCTTGGGCCGGAGAGACGGAGGCTGTGGGCCAGGAGTGGGTTCTGTCAAGGGAGCATTTCCGTGAGTCAATAATCGGGCAGCGGGATGAAGGGCATGTGAGAGGCAGAAATGCATTTTATCGACTGCAGAGATGACCTGCCTGGGTGGGAAAGAATTGTTAAGAGACTGAAGCACTTAATGCCACGCAGCTGAGCAACAGCTACCCCTTCTAACCAGTGGGGGAACCCTGGGGGTGGGTGGGACACCTGTCAGGAATGTGCAAGGCCAGCACCACGCAGTGCTTCACGGCCTGAGTTCTGGCTGGGTTCCCTTAAGTCTCAGAGAGACCTGGGAGAGACCCTGGGACCCTGGAGTACCCCAGGACTGGGTGAGACAGCCCTCCCACCACCACCCCTTTATCTGACCTTGCCCCATAGATGATGGGGTGCTGCCACCTGGTGGTCACCGGCAGCACAGTTGCCTCCTCCAGGGTCCAGTCGCGGGTGATTTCCTGCGCCAACTTCCCTGCCCCATCACACACACACACACACAGACCCCCCCACCTGTCTCTGAGGGTGCTTATCCCTCGGGAATCAGGGTGGCTGGTGGCTGGTGGCCGGGCTCCGGGAGCCCTTGAGACCCCCCAGCCAGGCTGCATGCCTGGGGAGCTTAGCTCAGGCCTGGCCGTTCATCTGGGCTTTGAAACGCGTTTGATGCTTGGCCATGACAGCTGCTCCTGGCCGGCCCTCAAAGCCCTGCGCTTTGCAGCAGCTGTCCCGGCCAAGGGCAGGCTGGGCTTGGAGCCCCTGGAGGTTCCCTCCAGTTCAGCGAGAGACCCTTCCAGATTCGGAATTTGGGTTTCCCTGATTGGGAAGCTAGCACAACCCTTGCCCCCGCCACGTCAGGCATGGCTAGGAGGGACAGCGGCCCTGGGGACAGGACACGGCAGGACATGGCAGGCCGCTCGCCGCTGGGCTTGGGGTTGGAGCTGACCCTGCTGGGCTGGTGAGGGACTGGATGGGGCTTCAGCCTTAGATGCTGAGGGGGTGAGCCATTTGGTGCCCAGGGTCTCCCAAATGTGGTCTCACATGAGATGTGGGCCAACGCAGAGCCTTAAGAAATGCGGCCATTGGTTCAGACACAAGGTGGGGGCTGCAGTCACCTGGCTAAGTACGTGTGTGACGGGGGTGGCTGTGGAGCCAGCTGGAAGCAGGAGGGGGGACCTTCCGCTTCTCTGAGGGACAGACGCTAACTTCACAGGAAAGCCCGCGCACTGGAGCTGACCGCAGACGCTGTGGTCTGGAGCAGCCTTCGTGGGAGCCTTGACCAGCTGAGAAAACCGACTGTCAGCACCAGACAGCGTGGGTCTGATTCGCGCACCTTCCCTGGGGCGGAGGAGTCGATCTGAGGTTTGAGACACCGGTGGAGGCCTGGTTCCCTGGTGAGGCTCCGCCTTCGATGAGCTCAGGGCACGAAAGGAAGGACCTCCCAGGCCCCACCATGTGTGCGCTCACCTGGCCGGGCTGCGTCTGACAGGGCTGCTCGTGGCTCCCACTCTGGGGCAGAAGTACCAGCACTTTGAGGATGCTGCCCGGGCTCTGGAGGTGGGGCCAGCCTGGGCAGGTGGGGGTCTGTGTGTGGGTTGGATCTCCCCTGTGGGGGTCCCAAACCTCACACCACGGAAGCCCAGGCTTGGGGCTTCTGCGTTTGCTTCCACACCTGCCTAGTAAAAGCTGGGCTCTGTCTCCCCAGGGCAACCCCTGGGAGGGTGGTGGGGTGAGGGCGGGTGCCCAGGAAGTCCCTCCTGAGCACTTCCCATTCTAATTTATAAGGACCAGGTCTGCCTGAATATAGGAAAACGTGACCATCCACAAAGCTGTGGAGCTGCAGCTTTAAGAGCAAGCCCCAACCCCCTCTCTGACCCCACGTTAATACCTAGAGCCCAAGCACTTAGTTCAGCCAGATTGGCAGCGTGGGTGCCCCATCACCCTCGCTGCCTCTCCTGGTCCCCAAGCAGATGCAGACCCAGGCACACTTCTCACCCTTGTCAAGCATGGTCTTGCGGGCTGAAACAAGGGTGGGTGGCATCCCTTGGCATGGAAACGCCGGGGAACCCCCTCGCTCCCCTACTCCCGCTGCAGCAGCAGGCGGCGGGCAGGGGGTCACTGGGTCATGGGCTGCAAGCAGAAACATCCCTGCCCCCTGGCCCCCGGAGGGTAGTCTGAAAACTGCAGAAGCACAAGTGCTCACTCTCCTGGGTCTTTAGGGTCTGGAAGTGGAAAGGTTGAGTGTTAAACTGCATTTCCACAAAGAGGTTTAACACACGTTACCAACTCTTGAATTTAAAAACCTTAACATGAGGACACTTCGTAAAGTGTGTGACTGACTGACCACTCTGCTGTCCGTCTGACACTTAATAATACACAACAGCACTGAACGTGAACTGTGATCAGAAAGGTTTCCGGCAAGTCCGCGCATGATCAGAGCATGCAAGACGGCGCCAGACGCCTCCTCTGAGTGGCTGGATGCACTTCCCTCGTCCCCAGGCCAGAGCCACTTGGACGCGCTCACCCCCTCCCGCCACCCAGAAATAAAGAGACACAGACTCTCATTTTTCAAGGTATTTCTTTTGTAAAGAAGCCAGGTTTGGCAACTAGACTGAAAATCTTCCAAAATTCTGTACAAATGTTTAATATACAAATATACACAAGGCTTTTGCCAAGAAAAGACAACACGATAACGAACGACAAGGCGGCTTTGGTGTCTCACACCAGGGCACCCCCCACGCCCCAGGTGCGCGGGGCCGAGGGCTGCACGCAGGCCGCACGCGCGGAGCGCAGCGAGTTACACTATGTACACTGCAGTATAAAAGGCCACGGCCCCCCGGCCGGCCCGCAAGTCCTCCGGCAGGAACGAAGGCCATTCACCCAACAACCCTGGAGGAACTCCTTTAAGTGGGAGAACCTTGCAGAATGAGGTGGTTCACCCTAGAAACTATGAACAGGACAAGGCATGCCCTTAGAGACGACGGGTGGCAAGAGTGACTCAGGCGATGGACCGCTCCTTGTGCCCTTCGGAGCTCCTCCTCCTCTCTCCCCTTGCTCTCCCAGAGTCTCACTCCATCTCAGTGAACCGGGCGAACATGGCCTTCCGGACAGCGTCTTTGTAGGAATCAGCACCAGACAGTCCATAGGCGCTGCCCTTGGCTCCTAGGCCAGCTCCCTTTAGCCGGACTTGAGCCTGGGAACACAAAACTGCTGTCAGCAGCCAGCGGGGGACATGGGTGTGCCTGCACCCTTATCCCGCCCACTCCCTACTGAGCAAGGCCACCCACTGGAAGACGGAGGAAGTCTTATCTATAGACAAGAATTTCTGCACTGGGGACTCGCAGCAGTTTTGAGGACTGCAGGTACAAAATGGGCCAAGGAATGCCCTGGCTGGTGTGGCCCCTGGCTGGTGTGGCTCGGCAGACACAGTGCTAACCTGTGAACCAGAGGGTTACCGGTTTGATTCCCAGTCAGGGAACACACCTGGGTTGAGGGCCATGCCCCCCCCCAGTAGGGGGTGCACGAGAAACCACCACACATTGATGTTTCTCCCCCCCTTCCCCGCTCTAAAAATAAATTAAAAGAAAAAAATCTTCCAAAAAAAAAAAAAAAAAAAAAAAAAAAAGGCCGAGGAGGACAGGCAGATAGAGCCCCACTCCCCTCCCCCACCAGCCAGTGTCTGCTGAGCAAGCATCTGTGCCCGGAAACCAGGACCCTAAACATGCCACCGAGGCCCAGGGAAGGCCTGGCAATTACAGGCGCAGATCCAGCAGGACAGCCTGGCGTCAGCAGAACTCCCTGCAAACATAGCCTGGAAGAGGCTGACTAAGCGCTGCTGCCAGGAGGGGCTTGTCTGGAGGGCCAGCGGGGGATGGGCTCTGACCCTGGAATGGCACCTCAGTCTCGGCTCTGACCATCTAAAGGGTCTTATCATGGACGCAAATCCTACTACATTGTACTTTGCTTTATCTGTAACCAGAAAGTAAAGCACAATTACCTTTAAAAAATCCAATGGAGGCTAAATGGGTCTGAGTCGGTGTTAAGTATTACGGCTTTGTTTATAACAAAGGACACAGAAACATACAGTCCTTAGCAGAAAAATAGGTCTTACCCTAAGATACCTACAGACCACAAAAACCAAGCACATCCCTCCCAAGCGCCATCGTAAAGGTGGGCGGAGTTGGGGAAGCTGCTCACCTCAATGGGGGCGGTGATGCCTTGACACTTCCTTCCCAAGCCCGAGCCTTCCCGCCAGCCCATGGCCTGCAGCATCTTGTTGCCGATGTTGCTGTGGTCGATGCCATCTTTGGTGGGCTGCTCGTAATTCCTGCCAGCGGCAAACACAGAGTTACTTAAAGCAGCTCGAGCCCCCGCGGCGTAGGCGGAGGGGGCTCACCACACATACACGGTGCCCGCGTCCAGCTGCTTCTTGCGCTTGGGCTCTGGAGGCTCTGGAATGCCATACTTCTCCCGTCTCTCGGCGGCTCGGTCCCGGTACTTCATCTGTGCGGGAGAACCAACACGTCTGGGACCACCCTGAGTGGCTCTGCTCCAGAACCTCGTGTTTTCGTAACCTGGAGCCTGGCCTTCTGTGGTGGTCTGACACACAAACGCCCTGTCCCTCCGCACCAAGCCGTAGGTGAAGAGGCCGGCGGGCAGGGAGAAGCTGCATGTGGGGCCTGTAGCGGAGCTACGTCTCCAACACTCGGTCTCCTTAACTAGCCACCCCTCGCCAGGCTCTTCCCACAGCCTGCCGGGTCCCCGAGGAGGGGGAGGGCAGCGCTGTCACTGCCCTGAGCCTGTGGGCAGGCCCACCTCCAGGGACAGACAGCGCCCAGGCGGCCTCCAGTGGCCTGCCCAGCAGTTCCCCAGGGTAGCCCAGTGCTTCTGAGCTTCCCAGGTACAGAAGCTCAGAAGCACTGGGGAGAGAAAGCTCGCCCACAGGACCATTTCTAACCCACGGGGTTCTATTCATGTTTAAAACTCGGCCCGGCTGGCCCTCAACCTACCTCATTAACACCGAATCCCTGCCCATCACTGGCCCCCAGCCTGGCCCACTGCTTCCTCCCGCATTGCCTGTGGTCACCTCAGGCCCTGCTGTCCCCCGGGCCTGATCTGAAGCCCCTCTCACTGCCCAGGAAGGCTTCCCCGGCCAGACCGGGAAGGACACCCGTGCCTTGGTCAGAGCCGGTGTCCTTCGCCAGCAAGCACTGGCGTTCAGCACTCGTGGGCAGTCCTTAGGTGTCCCGTTGCGCGCGCATGAAGGAACAGCGCAGGGCTCCCGTGGCACACAGCCCAGGTCTCGTCTGCACGAGCCCCACGGGCTGGGTGTTAAGCATGTGACAGCTTCCCTGCTCCTGGAGCCTGAAACTAAGTGCTACCAACAAAAGCCAAGGACAGAGACCCCAAGACACTCTTCCTAGTGGCACCTCGCCCCTCACTCACCTCCCTCTCCCTCAGCTCCAAGGCTTCCAGCTCCTGCTCGCTCAGTCGGGACCGTCGGTAAATGTCCATGTTTTGCTACAGGACAGAGTTGACAGACCCAGAAGTCAGACCACCCTAATCTGAAACACTGCAACACAGTCAGCAGCCACTGTGTGCTGGCGTGCTGGGAGTTAAAGCCCAGTTCCCTGACCTGAGCGCGAAACCCAGGGCCCAGTGTGCGTGGAACGGCCACCCCACCCCCGACTCTGAAACAGGCTGCAGGCAAACCTGCTTTGGCTGTATCAGACATTCTTTATAAACCTAAGGCAAAACCCCTGCCAGAGAGACACTACAGCCCGCTTTCTTGATGCAGTGGCCTGGAGCGTGGCCCACCACGCCCGGGAATGCCTGGGCCAGAATAGCCTCCTAAAGGCAGCCGCCCGCAGGGCTGTTCACTGCACTTCCCCTGTCGGACACTCTCCTCACCGCTGCCCCACCCCTGCCCAGGATCGCGCGGAGAAGCCAGGCCACCTTGTGCAGGTCCGAGAGCTGCTGGTGCCTGACCAGGGCATCCTTGTTGGGGAACTGGCGCCGGCAGAGCAGGCAGGCCATCTTCTTCCAGTCGGCCAGCTTCTCTTCCTCACTCTCCAGTCTCTCCACCAGCTCCTCTTCGTTGTCACTGTCACCGCTGTAAGCAGCAACCAGGCCCCTCTGGAGACAAAAGGGGGGGATCATTGGAAACATACAACATGAAGAAAGCTACGGCTATGTGTCTGGATCAAGCCACACGTAACCCAAGATGTGGGAGACACACCCCTGCCCTGTGCCCCGCCCCCTCGCTCCGGGGCACAGGCAGCCAGGTCCCAGCGCGGGCCTGGTAGCCTTCCTGGACCTGCCCTCCAGGGCCCGAGAAAGGACTGCTGTGTTCCGACCTCTGACCGTCCGTCCAGGAAACCCCCAAATACAATGGATCAGAGAAATGGCCCACACAGACCGGTATCCACTGAGTAAAATGCATTTCTTCTTGCTTTAATTTTCTCTTTCCACATCGTTAAAACTCTATTTACAAATGCAGTAAACCTCAATTAGCTGAGCCTAGGAATTCGGGCCTCATTCCCCGCTCCATCTCACCTGCTCCCCCAGGAAACACAAAGTCCCCCTGAACCTGGAGTCCACGAGCAGACACCGCTCCAAACACCCGCCAACACTGAGCAGGGCCCGTTTTAAGCAGAAACCACAAAAGCCAAGACACGGCTGAGGTTCCGAGTGAGAAAACACCACACACACGGTCTCTAAGACACAGGCTGGCCGTCCTTACTTTGAGGGGGTTCTCCTCGTCGCCATTGCGCACCAGTTCAGGGATGAGCTGCTGCCTTTCAGCGAGGGCGCCCTGGGAAACACAACAGGCCGTGAGCCTCCCACCTGGCGGGGGCTCCCATCAGCACGCTCACCACTCCCGCTGCTGTTACCTTCTTCTCGAAGAGGGCGAAGCCGGCGTCTGCCGCGGCGGACTCTCTCCTTTCTTCTTCTCTCAAGGAGCTGACAGGCTGAAAGCTGTTTTTAAAATTTTCTTTCTGCTTGTTTAAACTCTTGGCCCACCGTTCCATGTCTTTGGCGATCTAATGTCAAAACAGGGACCGCAGGAGAACATTTACGCAGAGCCTCTTAGAATACACTTACTTAGTCTCCCATGTCAGGACGACAGGCCACTAAGCATGGTTTTATCTCAATTGCGCGCTGTCACAAGGCCCCTGTGCCCTGCTGCTAACTGCAGGCACCTCTTGAGCTGCTGGGACTGCTGCCTGGCAGCCTGCGTCCTCCAGGGCATCGGGCAGCCGGACAGACGTGCGGTGCCGCTGAGGACCGCGAAATGCCCCACAGACTTGATGTAAGATGTGCAGCCCGGTCTTTAAGGATACGAATAAAGCTACCATAAATGCTACAACGAAAAAGCAAGACAAAAACGTAGCCCACCACCGAGACAGACTGTGGGGCCCCTTGTGGGGCCGTGCACTCACCTGCTGGGCTGTTTTGCTCTTGGGCTTCTCCTTCTTCTCCTTCCCCTCCTTTGCTGGAGGGAGGCCCGTCTGCTGGTGGGAGCCGGACTCTGCGGCCGGCACGTAGGTCTCCTTCTCGCCATCCCAGTACAGGTACTGCTGCGTTAAGGAGTTGTAGTAGTACTAGGAAAAAAAACACAATTAATGCAGACTTTCTGCTACATCAGACCAGTAACTTACAGGAATGTTTTGTTAAAAAGGCACATGAGTGTTTTGTCAGAAAAAACAACAAAAAAACAGAAACCCAAAAATAACACCGACAGACATAAAACATCCTTCCTGCCCACAGAGGAGCGCCCACCTTGGTGCGGGCGAGGAGGGTGAGCCGGCCAGCAAAGGCGGGAGCCCTCTCGGGCAAAAGGAGAACACAGCTTCTTCGCTAGAGCCTAGTTCCCACTGATTTGACCCCTGGGCCTACAGGGGACTCGGATGGCAACGTGTCTGACTCCTTCCCACAGAGACCACGTGCGCAAACCAGGCAGCCAGCATACACCCCCCATGACAAGCAGGAACAGCTGTCACCCGCTGCAACCACACACAACACTGAACACCGAGACCACCAAACGCAGGGTTGTAGGACACTACTAAGTAGCCTGGGTGCCTAAGGAGGTGACAGGTGAAGGGACTGGGCCTGAGGTCCGGGGGAAGAGCTGCCCCCGCCCAGGGAGCACCTGCCTCTCCTCTTTACCTCCCAGCCTGTCACCCCACCTGCTCAGCAGGGACCCAGGGAAGCCTGTCTGTCCTGTCTCTTCCAGGGAAGGTGAGGTGGGCCAGACACAGAAATTGCGACCTCTGTGTCCAGCAAGGAGAGCCTCCTGGGAAAAGGCCGGACCTCGGCGAGAGGCGTGAAGGGAGCCTGCGGAGGCCCAGCCCGGCAGGCGGGGCCCGTCGTGCCCACCTCACCCCTCAGAGACCACGAGCTCTCAGTGCCAAGCTCCTGTTAAAGGCGCTTGTCTTATCATCCTGTATTTACAGCTCCTGACCATAAATAGTTGTTTACTTATGGAGTGTTAAAGTTGCTTTTCCTCTTTAAAAATTACATACACCACCCCTAATAAAACATCATTCATCCGTTAGTTTCTACCCCCAAGAACCCATGGGGATGTCACATGAAGAGGCCGGACACAAGCCCCGGCTGGCGTGGCTCAGTGGCCTGAGCACTGGCCTACACAGCAAATGGTCGCCGGTTCGATCCCCAGTCAAGGCGAAGGCCTGGGTTGCAGGCCAGGTCCTCAGCTGGGGGTGTGCAAGAGGTAACCAATTGATGTTTTCCTACCTCTCTTTCTCCTTCCCTTCCCCTCTAAGAATAAATTGTCTTAAAAACAAAAAAAATGCAGCAGCTAGACATGGCAGCCACATATGGCATGACCCCATTTCCCAAAGGTCAAGAGGAGGCAGACCCAGAGAGACAGAGGCAGACTTGGGGACTGGGGCGAGGGGCTGAGGGGACGCCTGCGCAGCGACGGGCGCAGAGCTTCCCTTGGGCGACGAAAACGTTCTGGAATTACAGACGGTGGAGACAGCTGGGCCACACTGTGAGGACACCAAAAACCACTGAATCGTACGCCCCAAATGGTTAAAATGGTGACTTTGAGGTTAAGTGAATTCCATGTCAATTTAAAAGGGGATAAGTGGAAGTAAAAACACAACTGAAAATTTCTACCACGGTCTTCACAGAAAGGTTAACGGCCACCTACAGACGACTTGACGGAAAGACCCGCAATGACAGAGGTCAGACCCACGGCCCCCAGGGGGAGAGGCCTGGCTGGCGGGGGCACCAGGGCTCTTGCAGAGCCAGCGACGGCCTCTATCATCTCTGTGCTGGTTGGCACGCAGCGCACATGGCCGTAAACGCTCACAGAGCTGCACGCTTGTTTTGTGCACTTCTCTGTATGTATGTTATTCCTCAGCACAGTTTTTCTAACCCACAAATTAAAAACTTAAATCCTAACATATAAAAATTACACACTGATGGTTTTGAAGAAGTTAAAGCATTAATGCAGGCCCCTTGCTCCTTTGCAGGGCTGCTTCTTCCCCCGTAAGCGCACGCAGTGAGACGAAGGAGCCCCCAGTGGGGCCAAGGGGGAGGAGTGCGGGCTACCTGTGAGTTGGGGTCGTAGTAGAGCCCGGTGGTCGGGTCGTAGTAATAGCCCGAGGACTCGTCGTACTGGTAGGTGGACGTGTCTGGCACCGCTGCAAAAGCAAAACCCGGGACACAGTTAGCGGGCAGCACACGGGCTGCTTCCCAACTCTAAGCTGCGAGGCGCAGCAGGCGTTAGTGGTCGTCTCCTCTCACATCCCCAAGTGTCCCTCTGACACCCACAAAGGAGAGGCGGTCTTATAAAACAAAGTCAACAGCTAGCACCTTCCAGCTGTCGACAGCCCGCCACGAGGCTTGGCTTACCGTATTTGGTACCAGGAACTACCCCCGTGGGGGGCGCAGCAGGGGCCTGTGTGCTTGTGCTAGTGCTGGGCTGTGCTTCCTCGGTCTGGAAAGAACAGCGGCTTCAATGTAATTTCAACTGTACAGCCTCTTGAGAGAACTAAATCACTGCAACCGTCCGGCGGCAGGGCTCCCCGCCACCCACACTGCCGACGGCCCAAGGCTGCCCCTGAGCCAAAGCACGCGACGGCTTGCCCCTAAAGGCCGTGAGGCCGAAGCACGCAGGCAGCACAAAAGCCTCCATTGTTTCGAATCTTACATTTTAAATATACACACAAAAAGAATTGTATTCTCTAATACGATCAAACACAGGTTGGAGTATATTATTCAACCCTGGCTCATACAGTAGGAAAAGGTATTTATCCAGCAAAACAGTCTCCCCAGCAGCCACCAGCTGTGCATCTAGGACCCAGGACAATAGGATTACCGGAGAGCTGGGCGGGTTGGAGGTCTGGTTGTACAGCTGGGGGCTCTGCGACACCACGGCGGCGGAGGTGGTGGTCACTGCGGTGCCTGATGACACAAACATGGGGTCAAAGTCAGGAGGAGCGAGCGCCTTCATCCGTGACACCGAGGCCGGCCTTCTGTCTTCACGTGTGTCAGCTCTCATCCCACTAAAATGCCCTGGGCCCACGACAGTTTCACCTTTACAGTCCTACTAGAACGTGACACACAGTTAATCCATGATGGCTAAAAAGAAAGGCTAGAATCCTTATCTACTCTGGGGTCGAGAAAAGATTTAACTCGAAGGCTTTTGTAATTCTGGAGTAACAATTAAACAAAGGCGTCTTATAGTGACCCTTCTGACTGAGGTCTGGGCCCCAGACTCCGGGGACACCTGACCCCACACGGGCACTCGTGAGCCCTAAGAGCACAGAGAGGGGACGCAGAGGTGAGGTCTGAGAAGGAACGTGAGCACTTCTCATCTTCCCCAGCCCCTCAGGCACGGTGACAGCCCCAAAAGTGCCCCCCAGCCGCGCAGGGACATGGAACTGGAGCTCGGGGTCTCGCTAGAGCGTCTAAGAGCGTCTAGGTGCATCTCCTCAATTGCAGCGGCTTAGACGAGAGAGAAAAGGAAGACGAAGTTTCTACCTGATGCAGATGACGCATCAGATTCCAACCCTCCAGCTTGTTGCTGATAGAACTGTTGGTAGTCCTGCGAGTACTGAAGAATAAAGCCCGCCGTTAGAGCCGCTACTCTCAGGCGTACTCTGGAGACCAGAAGCCGCACGCCGGCCACATCTCCCTACCTGAGCGTACTGGGCGTAGCCATCTTGGCCTGGCTGCAGGTAACTGTAGTCAACGTTGCCTCCTTCGCCACTTTGAGACTACAAAATGTCAGAAGAGGAGGAGACACAAACTTAGTGGACGCTGAGAAAAGAAACCAGGACGTGTTCCCTGAAAACGACCTGGAGAGCTTACGAGGCAAGCCCCGCAGGAAAGGCGCCCTCCGTGAGTGCAGGCAACACCCCCGCCACGCTGAGCACCAAGGTCCCCCCTTACCTGGGTGGATGACCACTGAGCAGCGGCAATAGCTGTGCTGGCCACAGAGAAGGCGCTGACCCGGTTACCATCCGGGAGGACCAGGTCTCTGAAACCACAAAGGTCCAGTCATGTGACTCCACACCAGCACGCCCTCCACCCCAGCCCCACGTGGCCATGCAGACAGCGATTCACTGCAGCCTCTGCAGGGAGGTCTCAGGGCCAGCAAGGCCACCTTGCAGAGCAAGGAGGGCAAAGCTCCTGGGCGGGCAAGTGTCCCTGTAGCATCACTGTTCCACTTGGACCCTGCCATCAAACGACGTGTCTGCTGGCTGAGCAATGACACTAGGAATGAGAAATCGGCATGGCCAGACCGAAGCCCTGGGCACATGAAGCCGTCAGCAGGCCGGCTGTGGAAGGCGAGCGCGTCCAGGTGGGCTCCCGCTGTTCTGAAGCGCCCACGTAGCGCGCCTTCGCAGCTGGCCCGCCACACCTGCCCTCCAGTTTTCTAGCAGCTGGTTATTGAGACCAAACTCTAAGAGGAGGGACCAAACTCTAAGAGGAGACCATGGTCTCCCTCCCCCGCAACCTTGGTGCCTCAGTGTAGGGAGCACAGGTTTAGGGTTCAGTTAGCAAAGCAACCCCAGACAAGTGCGCACACGCAGCAGTTTGAAATAAGGTCAACAAAGCCACTCACTTTCTGGCACTTTTTGCAAAGTCAACCCCAATAGTTTTGCCATCAATTTTCAAGGGAGGATGGAGACTCTGTAGTATCTGAAGCAGCTGAGAAGCATCCTGAAGGAAAGTGTGAAGAAAAACCATTTTGTCATGCGATTAAAAACCTCACCCTCCCACCCACCCAAGAAAACAGAGCTTTCTCTTTAACAAAACAGCAGTTTATTGCTGTTTGCCGACAGGAAATCTTGAGGATAAAACCATCCCCCTTCCCACCAGGACATGACGCTGCCCGGTGTCACGAGAGGAGTGGACGCTCAGTCCGCCTACAACGAGGTCCAAAGGGCCCAATGCGGCTCAAATGGCAGATGCGCCTGTTACCACAGGTCCACGTTTCACCACTTCCCAGAGGAGTCGGCCTGTAAGTTGGCCACATAGGAGAGCCTTGAACTTCGGGTTCACAGTTTAGTTATCACACTCGATGAACCACAATTGCCTCTTAAAGTTCAGTTCTCTCTCAGAGCAAAGACTCAGCGAGCCCCTCACCATTGCAGAAGACAGTTGTACGAAGGCGAAGCCTCTGTTCTGCTGGGTCTGCCGGTCCTTGATGAGGCGGATGTTGTTGACCGCCAAGGATGCGTAGGGAGACAGCGCCGTCATGATGGAATCCACCACCGTGTGCGGAGCGATGTTGCGGAGGATGATGGCTGGGAGGGAGGTGAGGAGACACATGGCATGTGTGTGCGTTCCCACCACCGTACATCCCACGGCAGGTTCGAGCACAAACAAACCCACTTGGGGAGGTTCCTAGTGTACCTTTCACTTTGACATGGAGAAGATTCTAAAAACCAACCTTTTATAGGACAACCTGAGGCTGCTGCTGTTGCTTATAAAAAAAGGGTGAGAGAACAAAAAACTTCAGTTTCTAATATAAAGGCCAGAGATTATATACTTGAACTCACTATCACAGTAGTAATCCACGGACTGGACCGATTCTGTGGTTCCGGAGGGCACTTCCTGTTCCGAGTCTACAGGAGGGACGGGGAGGAGAGGGGGACTCAGTAATTGAAGACAGACAATAAATATAGTCAAACCCAAGTCTTAATTTTAAGTAAATAATTTTCTTTTTTAATCATCTGTGGCTACAATAAAGCCTCATAGTAAATGTGAAAAACAAAAATCGGGCAAGTGGACTAAGGAAAAGCAGACGCAGGAGGCAAACCAGGCAAGCCCCCAACTCCGGAACAGAAGAGAACTCTGCACTCTCATCACCGCCAGCAGCACCCACCAAATCTGCAGCGAGCAGGGTTCAGGAAATCATCCAGGGTGCTTGTTTAAATGCCCTCCTTTTCCTCAAGTGCACAGATAAACCAATTTGTGTGTTTTTTAAATCCTCACCTGAGGATATGTTTATTGATTTTAGAGAGTGAGAGAAGGGAGAGAGACAGAAACGTCGATGAGCTGCCTCCCATTCACGCCCAGACTGGGTGTCAAACCTGCCACCTAGGAATGTGCCATGCCCAGGAATCGAATCCGTGACCCTCTGCTGTACGGGATGACACTCCAACCCAGCGACCCACCCGCCCAGGGCCCAGTCAGTCAGGTTTTACTACGTGTCGCACACAAGCTGAACCTGGGCTTACCAAACTTGTCCGCTCCACACCGGAAGCATTTTAGTCTTTTCCTGAAATTGTTAAGGCAGCACTGGAAAAAAAAATTTTTTACCTGTCATTATTTCTCACAGTAGGTCAGGCTTACTAGGGACAGTGTGGGCGGGGGCAACGAGGCCGTGGGCAAGCCCCAGTAGGCAGAAAGTAATGCCACATATCCAGGACAAAGGGGCATTAACCTAAACACTTACAATGCTTCCCTGTGTGAATTCTTCCAAGAAAAACAAATCTTGGCATATTCTGAAGTAGAACCCCACTTTTATCAAGTTGGGGGGGAAGTGTAGGTTGAGCGACAAACCTACAGTCAGTCGCTGGCAAAGCTCTTCGCTGTGCCAGAAGAGTGCGACATGGCCACCCTAAGCGCACACACAACGCAGACAGGACGCCAGACACGGGTCACAGGCGGGACAGAGTAGGAGCCCTCTTACAATGTCAGTGGTGACACCCGAGTGCAAAACGGCGCGTGGGGCCACAGCAGGCCTGCATAACCTCACGGGCTCACCGCGTTTCTCTCAGTGCGGCGGAGACTGCCGGAAGTTGGGAGCTTTGGGATTCAAGAAACTATCACGTGAAACAAACCTAAAATCTTTACTAAAACGCAGGGCTTGGAACCTGAATCTTAATAAACTGAATCTCTAATGTTCTAGGGATTCTGTCCTCTAACAGGTACACAGGAGGACCCAAAGAAAGTCGCAAAGCACAAAAACCACGCTAGGATAAAAACTGGTGGTTACATACGCCTGTTTCCCTCTTCAGAGGGACACACAGAAACAACAAAAACCCTGGAGCTGTCACGTGGGCGGAACGCGGCCTTACCTTGTTACAAAGCCAATCTTCAAACTTCGGTCTGGGATTGCTATAGTGCATTGCGATGTGCTTTCCTTGAATCACCAACTTTTTCTGTAAAAAAAAAAAGTAATTAGTTATTCCCATTGTGGGGAACGTGTGTCCATTTTCCCAGGGCAGAGCACACTTCGGAAAAATCAGTGCTCTGGAGTTAAATGGACAACATACGGGGAGGACCAACCACCGCCACCTATACTCTGCCCATCCAATCCTTCAGACAGGCAGTAAGAGAATGGGATGCGGAGTAAAGGTAAACGGAGTCAGGGAGTGCTGAGGAAGCTGCCAGACACTAAACGCTGCCATGCACCAGGCCGTGTCTCCAGCAGAGACAGAAGTCCTAACATTCAGCATTGACAGGCTGCCTGAGAGTGACAGTCTAGTTCAAAAAGCAGACAACACAACGCTCCCAGTTCTGAGGCTGCCTCCTATGAAGCCCTCGGCACGTGCCCTTGGGCTTCGCTTCACTTCTCCCCCAGACCCCATCCTTATGCAGAGTAAAAACCTTCACATGTCCCCTTCCCCCACATTCCTGCTTCAGGAGGTGTCCTCTGGGAGACAAGGGAGGGAAATTCATTTGAGGAGGGCATCTGGTTACATGTCTTTCTCAGGAGGGACTATTCTGAATGCCATCGACTCTGAAACAGCTAAATGAGATTTCTTCCTGCCAACTGCAAACACGTCATGTCCTAGGTGACAGGTGTGCTTTTCACTGAAATAGACGGTACTCTCTTCAAAAGGGGAAACCAGGAGGCCAATGGAGTGTCTTCGGGGGGCAGGAAAAACTCGCAATGCCTGCGCGCCACCTCATCCCTCAGGTCAGCGACGTGACTTAAGGGGACTGCATTTTAGAAGCTGAACCAGGCCAGCCAAGAGCACGCCCAGCACCTGCCCCCAGAGAGTCTTCATTTAACAGGAGCACCTTTTCCTTATCCTTTTTTGAGGGGAAATGGGGGAGGGAGTGGGGTCTCCTGACACTATTAGAACAGGTTTAAGCAGGAGGTCAGACGTCCAGATTTTTAAAAGGAGTCTAACCCCTCTAAACATACATACTGTTGAGCAATTTGGTTCGTGCATATCCTGGAGGAGTTTAAGACATGCTGTGAATGTTGTCTCTGCAACATCTAAAGGTAAGGCTGCATGTCTGGCCAGGAGGGAAAGAGCCCAAGGGCCACCCGCTCCTGGTGTACAGAGCGCAACTAAAGAAGCTGGGAGAAGTGGCAGCAGGCCGCCCCGCCGGGCGGGGCGCGTGCTGGGGGCAGACTCCGAACTACGCTGAGTCCCTAAACCTATCGGCCTTTGAGTTCTGGAGTGAATTTGAGCTGTAATGAAGTATTACACATTGGCACAGCTTTGTATACATTAAAATTGTGGAGATGTTGAAATGTCTTACAGGCTGCAACTTCTTAGGAGTTTTAAACTCCCAGGCAAGTCCTTCTGATATAGCCACTGCATCAAAAGATGCTGCCACGTCAAGCAAACAGACTCACGCGAAGCTTGTGCACGTTCGGCACCCACCAGGATGGTGTCCATGGTATGAAATGAATGAAGCTCTACTTTTGTAAGATCAGGTTGTCACCTCTGGGTTAAGAAAATGAGGCTTAAAAATCTTAACAAATCAATCAAAATTAGTGAGTCTTGTTATAAATGGCAATATATTAACAAACAATGTAGTTCTTATTTATGGGTGACAAATCATAAAATGCTGCAGAAAAGCAACATGAGTTAAGAGAACTTCCCAGAATGCACTTGGTTAAGGCACTCAATACTGTGCTTTGGAGTTCTGGTAAAAATGTTATCTAAGTGCCAAGCACTGGACATCATCTTGATACTTCAGTTAATGCTACATCAAAGAACCACCAATGATTTGCTTTGAACAGACTATCACAGGCATTCTTGGGGAGATTAGAATGTTAATGCCACTCTAACTAGATTAGACAGCAGCAGGACACCAGCTCCCGGGCTAATCTCATCAGACTTATTGTTCACAGATTCCACCAGGCCCTTAAATAGTCCTGGAAGGACCCACATGAGCAGTAAGGCCTCCTGGAGGTTTGTGGTCGCCAAGCAGAAATAAGGAATTATTTATACAATGCCTGCGGCAGACTTCTATTGTACTCTCTTCACTGTCAAATTCGAGAGTGGGATGTTCTAAGATTACTCCCAATGGACATAATGAACAGGACCATAATCAGGGAAACTGGAACATCCAGATGTTTTGGTAATTACCAGACAGGTGTTCAGCGGTTAACAAAGCCCTGCCAGGTAGGTAAGTCTAAGGTAGAGCAAATTCTGCAACGCAGTCCTTGGAACTGCATTTATTCTGGTCACATCAATTTTAATATATACAAAGCTTTTCTCTTTTAAAAGTCACTCCTTTGGAACAAACCACTCCTTCAACCTTTTTGTTTCTGTTTTTGTTTTGTTTTGTTTTTAAATTGTACAGACTTGTTCCACTTTCATGAATATCTAGACTTGGTGAGTGAAGCAACCTGATTGGCTTCCATCCAGCTGGTAGCATCTTGCAAGTGATAAAACTCCACGAAGGCGAAACCACGGCTTACACCTAGAGACAGCATTCAGATATAGACGGGATACTCGTGTTAGTCAGTTCCTTTACAACAGGCGAATCTCTCTCCCACTGCTTCAACACTGCGTGACAAAGCCAATTGGGAAGCAGCTTTACAAATGTGACTTGACTTGGGGATCTTCTTGATACTTTGCCATGGCAAGGAACCAAGCCGCCTGAGCTAAATGCCACTCGATTTGATTCCACACTTAAAAAGTAACCATGCAACCGACTACAAACAAGGAGTTTATAAATCACTACTTACCGAAGGAAAGAAAAGTCCCTAAAAGCAAAGTTTTTAAAAAGGTCCTCAGATGCTCTCTAACATCGTTTTCAAAGAGTCACATTCCTTAGCCATGGCAAACCTTTCATTCTGAATTCATGTGCTTGAAGGCTGGGGGTACCAGGATGGTCTTTAGGGACTGAGGTGGGAACGGGGAAGAGACCAGAACAGCGGAACTGAGCAAGCTCTCACCTGTTTTCCTTTTCATCAGCCTCACGTCCGCAGGCTGAGGGCCTTCAAAGGACTCCATCATTTCCCGAATCTGCACAGGGTTTTACACATTCGCAGTTAAAGCTTCAGCCACAAACCATTCCAAAGAAAGTTCAGCAACTGGGGGCAGCACTGACTGCTTTGCTGGCCCAGTTCTGAACTTCTGCCGCCCCAACATGACGGCTCTAAAACTGGAGTAAGAGGAGGAACACTCCTCACAGCGAGTACTGTGTTCCTGCATCCTTAGCGACGCTCTCCCTCCACATGCCGCCCGGGCACGTCATTCACGTCGTGACACAGTCTTGCTCATGGTGCCCGCCCCTCAAACCTCCCCACTTTAAAAAAGGATGGTGCAATCTCATCATCCTTTTTTCTAAAGGACCAGAAAAAAAATTGAGGTTAAAAAAAATTGTTAATTGAGTTTGAGAGAGAGAGGAAAGAGGGGGAGAAAGAGATATTTGTTGTTCCCCTCACTTATGCATTCACTGATCCTTTTATGTGCCCGGACAGGAGATCTAACTCACAACCTTGGCGCGTTGGGATGACTCTCTAACCAACTGAGCTAAATAAAATCTTTTAAAAAATAAATAAAAAGAAAAAAAAGAAAAAAAAAGACTCAACAGCCAAAAAAACGAGAAATTCCCCTTATTTTCTGCATACCATCTTAAGAAAGAATTTTTACATTCACTTTAATGCTGAAAACTAACAAAGCTCATACATTGTTAGGCTCCTAAGAATTCAAAATAAACATTAATTGGGCCTACAAGAACCAATTCTGGCTCATAGGTTTCTTAGTGATGTCAGATCAAGCCCCTACTGCAAAAGGCAATGATAAAAAATACATCAGTCAATTTACCAATCATACCAGGAAGCAATACTCCTGCGGGGGGATTTTACGGCCAAACTTGTGGAACAGAGAGCCTTAGTAACCCCTTATGGGCAAAGGCCACCTGCAGGATCCCAGCCAATCCCTGCTGTTTGTGGATTCTGCATCTGCGGGCGTGCCTGCTCACTAACCCCGTAACTCCAGTCCATGCCTGCGGCGTGGCCGTGCCCTCCTGCGGACCCGCGCAGGGCAGCAAAGGGGCCGGGTCTCCGCCACACAGGTTCCCAGCTGAGGGGGCGTCTGGCCTTGTTTCCGTGTTCCCACTATAAACTAGTGCCCTGTTCAGTCTATTTAGTGTCAAGTTTTCCCCATTTTTGTTGCTCTCACTGCGTAAATGGCTCCCCAAGTGCAGTGCTGAGTGCTATCTAGTGTTCCTCAGCACAAGAAGGCCACGAGGTGCCTCACAGCTTATACACAGAACACATTAGGCAAGCTTTCCGCAGGCATGATTTACAGCTGCTACGACGTCAACAACGTATATTAAGTGAGGCATCTTTAAATACATACATATAAACAAGGCTGATGAAAATGTAACTATAGAGGCTCACAACCACCTCACTTTGCATTTCCCTCGGGGGCCATGGTTTGAGTTTTCGCAGTGATTGTATAGACCAGCGGTCCCCAATCTTCTTGGCTCCAGGGACCAGTTTCGCTGAAGACAATTTTGCCTCCGATGGGGGGGGGCGGGCGGGCCAAGGAGGCGGAGCTCCAGCGATAACTGGAGCAAGGCTCTGCCTGCTTCCAGCGCTTACCCCCTGCTGTGTGGCCCAGTCTTCACTGGCTAGCCCCCCAGGATCGACAACCACCACCACAATTAAGGAAAATGAACTATATTTCTATTTCCACAGAGCATGTTTAGTGCTACCCTGTGCCAGACCCAACCGTGGACTCAGATTCATGTTAGTAACAGAGTAACTAAAGATGGTTACTTTAGTTATATTTAGTGATACAATAACACATATGGCAACATAATAACTAGAGATAGTTACTCTAAGAATTCATGTGCCAGTAGAGGACAAACTAAAAGGGCAAACAATAAAAGTAATAAACTGAAGCCCAGAAGATTAAGGATCCCAACAAGCAATGCTCTAAGGCTATTGTACAAGCACTTGGGAACCTCAGAAATTCTCTGAAAACCACCTTTCGATGGTAGAGACTTCCAATTCCCCAAAGAAGCCTAGAACACACAAGCGCGACAATCTCGTTTCATTAGCAGCAAGGAGGCCCCAAAGTGTTGTCAAGGGCATTGCTCTCCACTTACCACCCACTTCCTCTGTGGGCTTCCAGGTCCACAGGCCTAACAGACTCAAGGGGACAACTGGACAAGCGAGCTAACTTCCCTGACCTGGCGCCCGTGGGATTTCCTACCCCTACCCTACACGCTCGCTGCGGCCACTACCTGAGCGCCGTTCTGCCCACCACGCTCCCCGTCTGTACTTCTAACCTGCACCAGTTTTGCCAGCAAGCAAAACCCTCAAGAACTTTCTTTTATACCTAGCCAGGCTTTCAGAGACTCCAGCACCTGGCACCAACAGCACCACCTCTCCTACCAAAAGCCTTTGACTTGAGTCAAATCAAAACCCATTCATTTCACCGACATGGGGTGAGCAGTTTCCTGCATTCAAGGGTCGGGAACAGACGCCCAGTTCACATGGAACCTGTTTTCAGGGGTCTGTGGCCCCACGGGGGAAGTGTGACACACACGCTGACAGCCACAGCGTGAGCATTACGGAATGTGTCAGCGTGCTCTGGGACGAGACCAAGGAAGCAGCAACTCTGCCTGGTAGATCAGGAAAGGCTTTACGTAAAGTAGCTCCGAGAGGAAAAAAGCAGATGGAGGATGCATCCCAGGGACCTGCAGGGGATGCAGGCAGCGGTACACCCCGAAGGAACGGGCGGGGGCCAGAGATGCCACCGGAAACCAAGCAGTGACCAGGACACCAAGGCCCCAGCTGGCCAGTCTGAGGAGTGGGCAGCCAGGGGATGGCCTTCCTTGGAACAGGCTGCTCAGACATTTCTAATGAGTAATAGTATAATTTTCATCAAATCAAAGGGTGACGAGATCCTGAAGAAAGTGTGTTTACTGATACGTGCTCACCAAGTAAGTAACCGATTCAATAAAAATGTATTGACTACCTTCTAAGGGATACTGAAGGAACAAGACCTGAATCCCTGTAGTTAAGGAACTTCTGGAAATTCTACACTGAGTTTCAAAGCCTAAATATAAATGGTAATTTACATGAATAAATGACCCAAATTGAGAGAAATCTACCCTAGAGATTTTTTTGGGAGACCCTCTCCAAAAAACCCCAGAGTTATCTTCTGGAGGGTGGGCCCCTTGTAGTACCGGCTTCCCCTGCTAGATGTGTTCTAGGAACCCACCTGTATCAGTGCACTGACTGGCGTTGTTGTGAGAGGCCGCATTTGGCTTTAGTGAATATATTTTTTCAAAAGATTATTTCAACGTGTTCACCCACTTCATGATGGATGTTTACAAGCGCACCTGCCCACACTGTGCCGAGTGTTCAGCAGCTTTTGACCAAAAACAGCGTGACCCCACCCTCCCTATTTACCCAATCACTAGCTGAGATATTAGCTTGAGATACAACAACAACAGAAGAAGATAATGGTAGAAGTTCAAAGTTCACTGTGCCCACTAGACTGCCTGTTAGGACTTGCTTCCCCTTACATCGCTCTCCGTGATGGTGATGGGAAGGCCGCGCAGCATGATGGTCTTGCTCTCCCGTTCATCGCTGATGTCATGCCTATAGTCATGCTCGCCATAGTCACCATCTGAATGGTAGCCATCTTCAGATCGGTCACTGTTCCTTCTTTCACGTTCTCTCTGATTCACAACAAACAAAATCACAGTTAAAATCACACTGGGTTTCTACCCTTTGATCCAGGACTTCTATGACAATGTTCACTGCAGTGTTTTCTAAAACAGCAGAACAAAATGAAACAAAACCAAAAATACCCAGTCAACAACCATTTAGTTCAGGAAGAATGTGTTTACAACTCACTGTATCGTGTAACACACAATGAAATACCATTACCTGTTATGATATGAAGATTATATGCATGGAAAAAGAAAAACACGGCAACATTACATGGGCAGCATGATTATTCTAAAACAAAGCCATGTATGGAAAGGAGTATGAAAAAAGGCACGCTAAGGTGACCGAAACTACAACGGGGGCACAGGGCTGGCATATTACTACACCCAACTGCTTCATCTTTAAAATGAGAAGACCACCTACCTTACGGGGTGTAGGGAGACCTAAGTGAGTTCCCCTAAGTGAAGTGCTCAGAGAAGTGTGTGGTGCGCGGTGAGCCCCCTGCGAAACCTGGCCAATCTTTCTGTTACTGTAAGGTCAAGTCTGTCTTTGAGGGTTACAGTCAATCAACAGACTCCAGAATAGTAATATTCAAGAGGAGCGATCCCACACTTGGCACACTTACTTCAAGGACCCCGCAGAGCCTATGCATGCAGCTCATGAGCCTAACAACTCGGGGCACGGCGGCCGGCCACTCACCTCTGGACTGTCGTAGTCTCGGTAGTCGTCGTACCTGTCGCCCCTCCGATCGTCACTAGACCTTTTGTAGTCGGAGTCCCTCCGCCTGCTCCGGGGTTCACGCTCATCACGGTCGTCCCTATCTATGATGGAGCCGTACCGTCCACTGCGCTCTGTTCTACTCACTCTGCCAGAAAAAATAATTTTCATTAACTCTAAAGTAAATCACGTTTTGTCCCGTTAGAAAATACGGTGGAACACAAACCCCATAGCTCAGTTTATAAGATGTAGAAATAGTTTTACGTATCCCTTTAAGTGTATCACTAAATTCTGGTTCACAAGGACAACCAACCACTGGGAAAACATCTCATCCCTAAAGGCAAAGGTAATTTTTAGGAATTCATGCCAACTCTGAAAACATGGGTTGTCAAATGTCTGGGTTTAATATTTCAGAGAAAGGGCCAGATTGTTCAAATTTATCCTGCATGTTCCCAAGCCTGTGGTCTACACACCGCCCAACTTATCCCTGATTTTAATCTTAGTGATCAAAGATAGGGAGAAAAAAATTATTAGCATTTCACCCAGTTTCAAAGGAGAGCACAGCCTGACTCATCCACTCTCAAGGGTATCACAACAGCGTGGGTGAGTTAAACAAACCTTTCTCTCCAGCAGGCAGCTAACAAAGTAGTTCATCTGTGAGACATACTCAGCACTGCCAGAGAACATTATTTCCTATAGCACCTGGTTTATTTTTGGTTACTGGGCAGCACTGGAAAAATCTAAAAACGAGAGGCTTAAGCCCATGTGACCACAGACATACACAGTTCTTTCCTAAGTTGTTTACCAGGTTCATGAAACTACTATGTAAGGACAAGACAAAGGAGAGGCTCACAGGGCCTCATTTAGCATATACAAACAAACAAACAAACAAAAAAAAAGGCAGTGAAAATGACAAGTCTAGGACTATTTCATGATTGTAAAGTATGGGGATGAGAAGCCCTGAAAAGGTAAACATTAACTTATTAAGTTATTTGGAACCGCAGGCTGCTCACACGGAATTAAAATAATGGTATCGTGTGACATGCACATTTGCCGAGTCCCTCTGGGCCATCAATTTGATCCATCACTGGGACTAGCCTCAATATTGAGGAGGCAGGTGACTGAAACGTTGTATGTTTAAATCAAATGGTTTGAGTGGCAGAATCTATAGATGACACAGCAGCCAAAACGCTCTCACCTTAAATTCTTCACCAATTCTTTGGCAGTGTTTCTATATGTAATCCACAGGCCAAAACTTCTCAGCTCTATAAATCTGGATCATCTTGTTATGCAGGGGACAATAACAAGAGCTGGCACTCACTGACTACTTATTACTACACCCAGGTAGCGTGCCAAGTGCCAGGATGTACGATCCCCTGGCTTCTGCACAGGCTGCTATCCACCCTGGGAATCTTCTGTGATTCACTCCACCATACACTCCTTTGCCTAATCTTACTTCTCCTTCAGGCTTCCTCTTAGAGCATACTTTCTCCAGGAAGCGTTCCTGGCCCTTCGCAGGAAAACACACACACGCCTCCTCTGCGCTCTCACAGCGCCCTCAACTTCCTGTCTCACAGCACGGCTCCCACAGCACTTTGATTCTCCCACTAAACTGCCGGCCTGTGGGCGCAGGGATCATGCAAGGGCCCACGGCAAAGCCCGGCACAAAACAGGCACTCCCGAATTTGTTGATAAACACACCACTTTAAAAAACGGTTCAGTCTTCACTGAAATATTGAAAGGCATGCAGGGTAGTAACTTACCGTTTGTCTGAACCCATTGCCTTACTGAAGATCTAGCACACTGCTCCGACAGCTTCAAATTTTGGGCTTTTTCTAGGAGAAAAGAGAGTTTGCTGCAAAAATCTGAGAGACCACTTAAATCAATTATTCTATAAGCTGGGACATTACCGAGGTTTGAATTTCACCAATGTCACAGAAGGGGACCCCTTGTCAACATTAAAATCATGCTACGTTTTGTTAACAATGAGGAAAGCGGGAACACGGAGCATACTGTATAATAGTGGATTCCGTTTTCAGTAATAAACCCATAAAGGGGTGCAGGCGGAACGGTCTTTCCCTGTTCCTAGTTTAAGATTACAAAGCAAAAAGGGCAGAGCTGCACTCAGCTCCCTTGCGCTGCATCGAAGAAACTCCAGTGGGGCAGAAGACCATTAAAACATTTATCACCGTGTCTTTATTAATACAAGGGGAAACGTGAAATTCAAAAATTTCTAATGAAAAACTGAAAACCTTTTACAAGCTCGGAGGCTGAGCTGACTGAAATCTACTCCACTTACAACGCCTCGGTTGGTTCAATCTGACACGAGCAAACCTCGACTTAATTCTGGGTAACAATACCCACAGGGCCCCGAGCCAGTCCTGCCCCGCAGGCCCGCAGCGCTGGTAAAGCATCCCTCGCAACTAGAACGCGTCCGATGCCTGCGAGGGGCGAGAAACTGTTCCACAGCAGGCACCCAAAGAACATTTGCTGAGTTAACAGAAGAGAATCACCTGGGAGAAACAAGGCCTTGGGCCGGAAAGCTGAGGCCGCCCTTGGTCTCCTGGGCAGTGCCCAGACCCACCTCCGTGGGGTGTCGAGGCCGAGATGGCGGCGCCACCGCCGGCGCAACCGACTGGGGCGGCCGGCTTTCCCTAACTCCCTGCACACGCCCCTCCCGCCGCCAAAAGGTTCCCAGCCCGCGGAGAAGACTTCACACAACAGCCGACCGGAGAGAGCTTATTAGATGCGGCTGTGGGGCGATGGTGGCTAGAAACTGCCAGGACTGCCGAGGAGTACCCGAGGGACGGCGACGGCTCCAGGCTCATGTGGGATGGGGAGTCAAAAGCGCGTCCTGGCAGGGACTCACTCAGAGGCCCAGCGAAACAGGCTTGGGGCTGAGCGGGAGGGCGTACTCTGAAAGCTGACAGCGCTGACGGCGAAGGGAGGCGCGGGCCTCCAACGCCTTGGGTAGTTCAGCCCCGCGAGAGACCCGTCTGGATTGGCAGCCGCCCGCCCGCGGCCCAAAGAGAGGCTCCACAAGGCCTGCTCCAACAGCAGGAACGGCCGGTCATCTCGGCCGCCCGCCACACTTACCTTCAGGAAGGGTCGAAGTTGCAGAAGTAGCGGTTTTGTGCCCCAGAATCTCTAACAGGGTACCGCCGCTCCACAAAATGGCGCCTCCGTCGTCCGCCGTCTCCTACCCACAGTGCCTCGAGCCCGCCCCTCCCCCAACACGCCCCCCGAGGAGGCGACCAATCCGCTTAGGCGCCTGGCTGCGCGAGGGCTGCTGGGAAGTGTGGTCACCAGAGCAGCCTGTCAGTTACTGAACGCCCTGTGTTAATTTCCTGTGTATTTCCTTTTCTTCAAAACCCTGGCCGTGGCCAAGCCGTCTTTTGCAGACGCGGCTTAGAGCTTTTGTTAGGTGTACGCCCTTTATTAGGTGTAGTAATTTTTTGCCTTTGTTACAAGTGTGTTTAATCCGGCTTTCGGATTAAACGCTAGTTGATCCTCTGTTGCATTTAATGGACGCTAAGATCATTGGGCTACTTTACAAACATCTATTTTCATCTTCATAACCTATGAAATGGTGATTAAATCCCCTTTGCAGGTGAGGAAATTGAGATTTATGGAAATCGAGAGAATCCTTGAAAGCAGGTCTGCAAAGTATTGAGTTGGCCAAGAAGTCCGTTTAGCTTTTTCTGTAAAATAAGAGACACAGTGTTCATTTTCACCAATAATTCTGTTGACTTGGATATTTTGAGTATGTTGGCTATCTCCCGCTATTGGCTTCTAGTGGGCAGAGGTCAGGGGTACTGCTAACCATCTTCCAGTGCATATAACAGCCCCACAGCAAAGAATTGTTTAGCCAACATGTCAATAGTACCAAGAAACTTTGCAAACCACTTTTGACACATTCAATCAGTCACAGTACTTTCTCCATACACTGTATAAACCGGGTTTGTTTGTTTGTTTGTTTGCTTTTCTGTTGTGTTTTTATCTTTCTTGAAATAATAAAGCATAATACACCAAAAATGTTGTGTATTTTCTTCCACCTTCAATATTGAAATAGCTGTGCAACAATTCACCAATTTTGGTAAATGCATTTTTTTTTAATGCACACTGATATGATAGCTGTCACAAATCATTCTAACAAAATTGTTTCAAATGAAGTTAAAGACAACTAAGCACTGCTAGAGCCATGGTTTGGAAAAAAAATAAATGAACTTTTTGTCTAACCCAATATCATTCATTGATATTCTCTAGTCTAAGGCAAGGGATCAGGAAAGTAATTTAATTTAACAGTTACTACTTGGATGTCTAGTAGTATCTCAAAGTTTAACACAGACAAAGCCCAACCTCATCTCCACAACCTGCCCCAGCTCATAAATGGAAATTCCCTGCTTCCAGTTAGGACAAAAAACCTTGGAGTAATCCATGACTTTTTTTCCTTGCACCCAACCTGTCAGCAAATCTTTCTGATTCTACCCTTAGAATATTCCTAGGATCTGACCACGTCTAGCTGTGACTGCTGTCCACCTAGGCAAAGCCATCGTTTTACAGAGACGGCAGGTCACAAAGAGCTAACAGAGTTGGAACTGGGATATGAACTACGAAGTTTGATTTCAGAGTCCTTGCCCTCAGCCACAAGACTCTAAACTCCAAAACGGTAGGGACTTCTGTCTGTTTAGTTTACTACTAGTGTCATACAAGCGTATGTTTGTGATATAGCCTTTCCTATAAGTCAGCCGGGCAACTGCTCAGCTAGCTGCCCGCTGAGCGGCTCAGCACCAAGGAATAGATAAGAATCACACAAAGTAACCATGCTATTCACTCAACTTTTATTGAACACAGGTTCACTCAAAGTAGGACATCAACATACATTAATATCCTACTCACACTAACAATCTAAGAGAAATATAACACACACAGAGCAATCAATGGGAGAGAAGAACCCGAGTCCCAGTCTCAGTCTGCAGGTCCAGGAGACAGGACAGTGGACAAGGGAGTTTTCAGTGTCTTGCAAGGAAGGCTCTCTGGAGCCACATAGGCAGCAGTGCAGATGAAAGTCCTCCGTCCCACAGGGCAGAGCCTCCAGTGCTGATGCCGAGGGACATCAGCGTGGCATGGGGCAGAGCTCTGCTGTTTGGAGCCCGCCTCAGTTATACCTTGAAAGTGGTGTTCTCTGCCCTTCTGGGTGTTTTGATAAATGTCTTGGCACCCATGATGGAGTGTAGAATTTCCCCAGGAGCCTACCTATGGGTGGTCCTGCTCTGCAGACATGGCTATTCTGATCACACGTGCAGATATTTAGGTGTGTCTCTTTGCCAGATATGTCTGCTCTGATTTAGATAGTTTCTCCCTTGAACCAAAGGGTCATGGCTGACTGGCAGCCGCTTTGGTTGACATGAGTGACTCTTTTATATAGTTTGTTATCTTGACCAGACCAATGCCATCTTATTGGTCCTGCTCTCCACATTGCTCTATGTCCCCAGTGCTTCTACTGGTGCCTGGCACATGGTATGCACTCAGTGACTATTTGCTGGACAATAAATGAATCTACTACCTAAGCTAAAATTGTAATATTTGTGGCAGAAAAAAGGAGGGATCCATGGGTGATTCATAGAGATGTTTTGGACTCTGGCCAGTGAAGTGGTGGTATTTCTGTGCATCCAGTTACCACAACTTGCTCCCTGGCATTATTGAGAAAGGTATTTTTAGTGGAACTGAGTTTTCAGGTCACGTATACAAATTTAAAAATAGACCATGACAAGGCAGAGGAAGGTGTCAGTTCAGTTACGGAGAACTGCGTCCACAGCGCTCACTCTCCTGTAGGCAAGAAATCTTTCAAAAGTAAGTGGATGTCAGTGAGATTCCAAACCAGAACCTTCAAATATACTAAAAAAATATATTTTTTCTCCTGGAGAAGTGTGTTAAAACAGGTATGGCTTATCTTTCTGCATCAAGGGCTTTCAGTGACTGACAGTGGAAACCTTTCGGGTAATTAAAAACATGGCATTAGGGAAATGGAGAAATACCTCGATTTTGGAATAATAACTTATTTCTGTTCTTTCCCTTTTTCTCCTCTCTCACACCATGCACAGGTGTATGTGTATATGTATGTATGCATGAAGTCCATTTGGGCTAATATTACAAAATACCACAGACTTGGTAGCTTATAAACCAAAAGATATTTCCTTCTCTCAGTTTTGGAAGCAGGGAGGCCCGACATCGTGGAGCCGGCATGGTGGGACAAGGGGCACTTCATCCTCAATGGGCGGAGGGTCTGCGGAACTCCGCGGGAATCTCTTTTAATAAAAAGAGTTATAATCTTATTTATGACAACTCCATCCTCAGGAACTAATCACTTCCCAAAAGCCTCACCTACGAATACCATCACCTTTGGGGGTTTGGATTTCAATATACAGATTTGGGGCGCGGGCACAAACATTCAGACCATAGCACTATCTACACACACACATTTCTACCTTTTTATATGTATATATGTCTCATATATACATATGGGTATATATTCCAACTTATGGGGAAAGTACATATATGAGTATATATAAAACATTTATCATCAGAAAAAAATGTGCTCCACACAGGGCAGGCAAATATATATTTTTAAGATTGTATTTATTTACTTTTAAGGAGAGGGGGAGGGAGGGAGGAAGAGAGGAAGAGAAACAGATCAATATGCGGGAGACACATCCATGGGTTGTCTCTCGCACGCCCCTAACTGGGGACCAGGCTTGCAACCCAGACATGTGCTGTGACTGGCAATTAAACCAACAACCTTTCAGTCGCAGGCCAGTGCTCAAGACACTTTGCCACAGCAGCCAGGGCCACACAAATACGTTTTGTCATTGCAACTTTCCAACGGATGATAAAGATGCCAAGAATCCTGAATCTGCCCAACTTAATGGCCACTAGCAAGCTGACTGTCTTGTTCCCAAAGCTGTTCCAACAAGCATTTATAAGCATCCCTGAGGTGTTGCTCAGCTGGGCTCCTCACCGGCCATAAAAGCTATGTGGCTGTAAATGGTGCAAAATCATTCTTAAACTTAAAGGAGCTGCCTAGAAAAAAAGATGGATTCCATCAGAGGAAGTGCCGTCTTCCAAATCCTCTGGTTGCCGACCCTCTCTGTGGACATTGTCCTGCCGGGCTCCTGAGCTGCGCCCCTGAAGGTCTGGCTGACAGCTGATGTGGGCCTGGGAACGTTTAGATTCCCAGCTGAGTAAGGAAAACGATGACAAAAGAGAGTTGCGCTCAATACAGGATAAAGGGTAGTCCCTAAAGTTGCTTTTCCTACTTTTTCGACATAAAAAAAACCAAGTTCTCCTTTTAATGAAATAATAACCTTCATCCCCCAACCTCCCTAATCTCCCCCTCGGCAAAAGAAACCACCAGCCCACGTGTTTGTGTCCCAGGCCACAACTGCTGCTCTAGAATAGCAAGTAAAAAAGATTTCTTTGAGAACTCTGGCCTATGCCAAGAAGTTAAAATAATTTCTTTTGTTAAGATGTGCTTTGATGAACTGAAAGATGTTGTTAAAATGTAATTCAACCAGTGTTTCCCACTGCCCCATGAGGTCAGCATCATTTGCTCCCGTTGAGGGCCCACCAGGTCAGGCCCTGTGCCGGGAGCCAGGGGTACGCGCGTGGAGAAAACTGCCCGGATCCCTGTCCCCGTGCAGCCGGCGTTCTGATCGCAGGCCTCAGGGAACTTCCCAGGGACACCATACGGTGACACACTTTTCCCACCTATTTCTACTTTCATCAACACCCGAAGTACTGCTTTTAAAATGTATTAAATACTTTAGACCTTATTTCCAACAGCAAAATCTCCATTAAGGTGGCAAAATAAAACTAAAAAAAATAAAACTAGGCAACGGCCCGAACGAGGCTCCGAGGTCCAAGGTTTTCAGGGAAGATGAGAATGAGTGCAGCTCAGACCATTCCGGGGAATTTGCTGTCCTTCTCCCTCAGGGCTCTCAACACGCCAATAACTGCTCAGTGTTCATCTCCTCCCCCGCTGACTGAGTCCCCTAGACACCAACACTGGCCTCGCTACAGAAGCCCCGGGGCAGGCAGGGTAGGCTCTCAAGGCATTCATGGGATGACCATGTAACAACCTGGTCCTTCTGCTGGGGAGCCATAACCTGCGTCAACTCAGTAGCCCCGAGGACAGTCTTCAACAGCGA